AACTGTCCCATATGGTTTCTAAGACTACATATCTTTACAGAAGTAAACTGCCTCTTCTGTTTCCTGTGGAGTGGCTGGTGGGTTCAAACTACTGACCTGTTGATTAGTTGCTGGATGCTTTAACCACTGCATCACCAGAGCTCCCATTTAGCATGTGACATAATGTAATTTTATAAAGTAGTTTAGGATATCAGCTATATTCAGAATGATGTCCTTATAAAACAGGGTGATAGTTATCCATTTCCTCTGCACTCTTCACAAATTTGTGTGAGTACCTTAAGAAGAATTTGTTCCATAAATTAACAAGTCGAGCATGAGACAAGAAGAAAAGAGGAACTCTCTCTCCAAATGACTTTTCCAGCACAGACTATCCTTAGGTAGGCTGGAGACATCAGGATAGATGTTATTGTCTTTCAAGTTTCCTCTTTGATTCAAAGATCATGAAAATACTATTAGGAAGGTGAAAAAAATTAAAAATATATTAGTACCCACAAGATACTAGGCCTGGTACAAGGCAATTTCATAAAAGTTACCTACCTTCTTTTCAATACCTGCCATCACTTGATACATGAGGAAACTGAAACTTAGAAAGGTAAAGGTGTTTGCCGTAAATCACAGAGTGTATATGTAACTGGAATTGAGATTCGAACCCAAGTACTCTTTCTACTAAGGAAATAGCTTGGTAGAATTTTTAAGATAGCTAGGATGTTCCACTGTATTCTATACATAGGTCAGCAAAGGTCTAAAATTGCTCAAAGTCAAAATGTATTTTGTGGCAAAGCCAGGAATAGAATCTAGTTCGTTGATTTATTCATATTCCTTCACTTGGCTTCAGTGACTGCTCACATTCTTTTATTCTTGCATTACTGCTTTTTCCTTCTTAAACTCCTTTGCTTGGTCCTTTTCTCTTCTTTCTCTGCACTCCTTCCCTGATGTTCTCATTCAGTCTCATGGTTTGAAATGACAGCTGTATCCTGTCAATTTTCAAATTCATTTTTCTAGTCCACGCTTGACTCTTGAATTCCAGATACCTGTGTCTAGTGTCCAAACTCCATTTTGATGTTTAATACCTCAAATTCAACCTGTCTAAAACTGAAATCCTGATCTTTATTCCACCTCCCACCCACCAGCCACTCCTCAGAAGGAAGCTTGGGCAATCTGCTTCTGTAGTGATACTGCCTTGGAAACCCGAGGAGGGATCCGACTCAACGGCAAATAACAACAACCCCCCAGCAAATCTGTTTATCCCATACCCTTCTGTATCACAGTTGTTAGCAAATCCAGACTTTCAGTTACTCAGGCCAAAATACTTTGGAGTCCTCACCCCATGTTCAATGCAAAGAAAAAAACATTTGGTTCTACCTTTAGAATATATACAGAATTCAGTTACTTCCTTAGCACCTCCACTGCTACCACTGAGTCACTAAAGTAGTTCTCTAAAATTATAAATCAGATCCTGCTACTCTTTTTAAAACCTTGTGTTGGCTCCCCATTTTCTTCAGAGTGAAAATCAAACTTCTTACACTGCAAAGTTTTGTGAAAAGCGAAAGGTGGCTTAGCATTTTTAAAGGGTCGTTTGGGTTGTTATTAATGGTCATCCATCTCCCCTAATAGAATGTAAACTACATGAAGGTAGAAGGCTTTGTCTTGTTTTGTTTATCCCAGGCATCAGTGTCTGGCACCTACTAGGTGTTCACTCAATTTTTGTTCATTTTGAATTAACACATTCATAAATGTTTATTGAGCTCCTGCTATATGCCAGAACAGTTTTATGTGCTGTATACAGAAAATTGGTTGTGGTTCTTGCCTTTATGACTCTTTATGAATAGACTCCACCTTTGGGTATTACACCCTCAAAGACACTGATTCAGTTAGTCTTCTGTGGATTCCAAACATCAGTATTTTTTAAATTACCACAGAAAATTCTGGTACACATGGGTTGAGAACTAGTTCTATGTATCCTATCCATTGCAGAAATAGATTCACTCACAACCAGAGTTTAAAGAATGTATCATTAGGAAACAGAAGTAGTACTCTCTAACAGTTGTAAAAGATTCCTAACTGAAAATAATATTAAGGAAAAAAAGACGAAAAACACTCTAGAAAGTGTATGCTGCACGATCACCCCTTCTGTGTTACACAAACAAATGCCAGTTTTCAGGGACATAATTTCTTTGACTTAGATTTAGTGGGTTTAGACTCTTTCTCTTTCCCATATTTAGCTCTTTACAGCTTTCACATTCTTTGTCCTATAGACTGCCAAGGGAGCACATAGATGTAGAAGTCAGGAGGGTTAAGTTAATGTCCCGAAGATACCTCTGACTGAATTGATAGCCTCACTGAGGCAAAGGTTCCTAATCTTTAAAATGAAAGTTTGGACTGAAATAAACTGTGGTCCCTCTAGCACCAATATTCTAGGATTCTGATTTCATTTATTATAGCAGTTATAATTGATAATAAGAGTAAAAATAATATCCTCCTTAATACCATTTTGAAGGAAAAATTAGATAGTCACTCTCCCCTTCATAGAAATTTCTGTTGTCTACCAGTTAATATATTGTAAATAAATAAAAGTCATACATTTAAAACATGATTTTATTTAAATTATTATTATTATTATTATTATTATTATTATTATTTAATTCCAGTTTTCATACATCAACAGCTGTTTAGATTACATTTCAGATTACATCTCAAACAACTGTAGAAAAAAATATTTCCACAAGGGTTCAGATATTTCTCCCATAGTGTACTTTCTGAAGGATGTGACAGATTTCCATCATTAACATGGCTCATGATTAGAGTGTGGCTACCTATCAGTGTCTCTGGGGAAAAAAGAGGGTGAGATGTGGCAATGAGGATCTATCTATAAGTCAAAAAATTCTCAAATTATTCTGATACCTACCACTCCCCTTTTGAAAATCACCTGTTCTGCAGATAAAACACAGAGTAATTCAAGACCATCACTTCATTTGCATTCTAAAATAAATAACTATTTTATTTAGATGTTTATGTTCTTCATGGATGCATTGCACATTACCTAAATTCAGAAGATAATTTATATGTAGTATATTATTCTCCATCATTCTGAATATCATATGGGGTGAATTACTGGCACATTACATTGAACAGTTCATTCAGTTCTATTCTAAACAAAGATAGATGGACTTCAAGCCAGTTATTTCTTTGCAATCTAAATAAGGTAGAATATAACCACTGGAAAAAAAAAGTCGTACTATTTTTAAAGTAGACAGTGTGTATTTTTGCATACCTGTATAATATTACCCTAATTGGAATCAATGAGGAAATGTGCAGCAAAATATTTTTAACATGAAAATTTAAATTTTTAGAAGGTTCCTGAAAGTAACTATTCTCAGGTTATTTAATCATGAAGGATGTATTTAAAAGAAACCAAACTTGCTGCTGTCAAATCGATTCAACTCATAGAGACCCCTCCTTGGGTTTCTGAGGCAGTATCTCTACAGGAGTATATTGCCCAGTATTCCTTCCAAGGAGTGACTGACTGGTGAGTTTGAACCGCCAGCTTTCTGGTTAGCAGTCAAATGCCTTAGGCACTATGCTACCAGAGCAAATGTATACTCATGTCGGAATAGCTGCTTTGAAATTACAGCCCCTACCAATTACTACCTCTGTAATTTTGGTCTGACTCGACGGCACATAACAGCAACAACAACAAATTTTGGACAAGTTATTTAATCTCTGTCTTAATTCCAAACCAACCAAACTCACTTCCATCAAGCCAATTCCAATTCATAGCAACCCCCATTGGGTTTCCAAGGCAGTAAATCTTCACAGAAGTAGATTGCCCAGTGTGTCAATTATTCACTTGTAAAATGAGAGATGGTTGAGCAGAAATTGAAAGGATTACTGTAGAGGGGATAGTAATGAAAGAGAGTAAGAAAAGATGTAGATGCAGCTCTTCCTTCTGATCTCATCCCTTGATGGTTCCCATGATAATTTTTCAGTACCCTTATTAATAAACTTCAGAAGGAGGGTTGGGCAATCGATCTACTTCCATAGATACCGCCTCGGAAACCCAAGGAGGGGTCGCTATGAGTCGGGGCCAACTCCACGGCAATAACAACAACAGCAACATAATAATAAAAAGGTGGGAACTTGGAAGTTAGGTTTGAATAGAGAAACGTGTTTCAACAAAATAAAAACATGAAAATGACATAGATCTCTTATGAATGGTACTTTAATTTTATTAATTGCCTAACATATATATAACATGGTTAATTATGTGTGCTTTTTTTTGCTTTTGAGTCAGGAGGCCAGCCAGCTAAACCTAAACCCAAAAAAAGGGAAAAAAACAAATTCAGTCGTCGAATCGATTCTGACTCATAGCAATGCTATGACTCATACCTCAGGAGGTGGAAAAATGCTTTTAAACCAATTTCAATAACTTTTACACTGTTGCATAATAGCATAATTCTTTTTAAAAATCATCCACTGATAAATGAAAAATGGTTTCCTGTGCTAGGAGAAGCATTATAGTTTTTTATAATCATTTTCATACTTATTTTTTGATAGATGCTTTTCAAAATGTGCATACCGATATCTTTCACATGCTGCTTGTTCTATTTAAAATGACAGGTTTACTTAAATATCTCTGAAATAGAGGGTTGTAATGTGAGGCCCAAAGATTCCCTCTTGAAGATGGCTAGACCTTCTCACATTGTTGGAAAAGTTCTGTTTTGTATGCAGGAGAGGGGTCTAGGTTCTTAAAGGGGGTTCATTGCCAAAGCAAGACCCTAAGAAAACAGTGTAAGTTCATTCTCCCAAATAATTTTCTTCTTTAAGACTACTGTGAGAGGATTGTATCATGTATAGTTAATAGTATTTGAAAGTCGTTATTACATATTTTTGTTTATGTAATGACCCATTTACCTTAGGAAAAAAACTTTCAGAAATCAAAACAGAAATATCACGAGTCTTAGAATATGTGCTTTACCACATTTTGTGTTTGTGTTTTTGAGGTCCGATTCCCATCCCACTTCAGTTCAGATCTCAAGGACCTTCTAAGGAACCTGCTCCAGGTAGATTTGACAAAGCGATTTGGAAATCTGAAGAATGGTGTGAGTGATATAAAAACTCACAAGTGGTTCGCCACAACAGATTGGATTGCTATTTACCAGAGGAAGGTGAGTCTTTCCTTTCTTTTTAAATTAAGAGGTTTTTAAGAGTTAGTATTTAAATTATATGTAGTAGAGATACTTTAAATTTAACACATAGTTTAAATTTTTTTTAACATTTTAAATTAATTCTTTGCAGGACATAAAGTGCCTTATAGCCCACAACTTAAAAATGAATTTTCTCCTTGATCAAAGCAAAACTATATATTCTATTTGACAATCAATCTGAAATGTTTCCCTTATTAAATTTTTCCTACCGAAATCTCATAGCCTTCAAAACATCATGGTGATTATACAGTACTACATAGTATTTAAGGGTTCATGTTTCAATACTGACATGAAGCCACATTAGAAAGACAATATGTAAACAAATATATTGTTGTTTATATGTATTTGCCAGAAGGAGCTCTAGGGGAGTGGTGGTTAATATATTCGGTTGCTAAACAAAAGGTCAGCAGTTTGAATCCACCAGCCTCTCTGCAGGAGAAAGATGTGGCAGTCTGCTTCTGTATAGATTTATATAGCCTTGGAAACCCTGTGGGAGGAGTTATACTCCGTCCTATCGGATTGCTGTGAGTTGGAATTGATGCAATGGCAGTGGGTTTTTTTTGTTTGTTTGTTTTATATTTGCCAGAATTGGCACACAGCTAGATTTAATAATCTTTAATTGCAAGAATCATCAGATATTTTTCTGTGTTTATCTTGACTCTCTGCATTAATCAGTGTTTCCAAAAATTTTGTGTAGTGTTTCCCAAACAGAGCATTCGTTTTCACACTCCATGCCTTTATGAAAGTTTTTCCCTTTGCTTGAAATGGCTTTCCTCATTTGTACATCTGCCATATTCTTATTCATTCTTTAAGATTTGGTTTAAGGTTACTTCTCCTGTGATATTTTCTCTGAATCCTCAGTATAGATGACAGTTTTCTTGCGTAACACCTATATACTCTGTGTCATTTTAAAGTATTTCATTGTGAATATCCTGCATGAGTGTGATGATTGGCAACATACTCATTAAATGTTTGCTGGATTACTGACTGAGCTTTGCTCTTTCTTCTGATACAGCTTTCCTTTATCTACTTCAAAGCCAATTTGCATAAAAATGATGGAAATGGGGGGTTTTTAAGTTCTTTTAGAAGGTCAAGACAAACCATCTGAAACTAGTACATTTTGTTCTTTTAACACTTACATATTTATGTAATTGTTCACCAAATAATTATCTAGATGCCTACTTGTATGCTAGTTATTCATCAAGGTACTGAGTAATCAGTGATGACCAAAACCAAAGGTTGTCCTCACCCATGTAAAGCATGTAGTTGTAGGATACAGGGAGGTCGATATTAATCAGAAAGTCATACTCTGAAAAATATAGGAATGCAGAAAGAATAACTTGCACTTGAGTTGATGGGTTGTTTTTTTTTTTTTAAAGAGAATTTTTAGTGTTTGAAATTCAGACAAATCAGAGGCTCGAATATGAATACAAACCAGGTTAATCTCTAGAATTAGTATGCCACCATAATAAAATAGAAAGCAGCTCTGGTAGCATGATGCCTAAGACAGTTTGACTGCTTACCAGAAGGTTGGTAGTTCAAACCCACCAGCCACTCCACAGAAGAACGACTGGTCGATCTACTTCTGTAAAGATTTACTGCCCCAAAACCCAAAAGGGGTCACTACAAATCGAAATCGACTCGATGGCAATGAGTTTTGTTTTTTAATAATAAAATAGAAGACAAACCTCAATTAAACTATTTTAGCTTATTTAAAAGAATCTAGTTTTTTCACTCTTCAAGTTGACAGTACAATAGCTGTGCTGACAGTTATATATTAATTAATAGTGGTTATCGCTTCACCTTTATAATAAATTTCAGCATTTAAGATTTTGCTGTGCTGAAGAAGTACAGCCAGAATGCTGCACAGAAGCAAGGATTGCAAGACTTTGGTCATGTTATCAGGAAGGACCAGTCCCTGGAAAAGGACATCATGCTTGGGAAAGTAGAGGGTCAGAGAAAAAGGAAGACCCTCAGTGAGATGGATTGACACAGTGGCTGCAACAGTGGGTTCAAACATAGTAACAGTTGTGAGGATGGCACAGGACCAGGCAGTGTTTCTTTCTGGGTCCATAGGGTCGCTATGAGTCAGAACTAACTCCACCAACCTAACAACAACAACAACGTGCTAAATTACCTTCATCTCTTCTTTTTGCTTCTTAAAGGAACAGTTAAAGATAGCATGCATGAAAAAATACTTTATCTTGAGTGTAATTTTTCTCTTCATTTTCTTCATAAAATCAAACTAATGTTTAAGGGATTTACCATACTTAATAATGTCTGTCAGCCACATCAGTGAGTGTTCTTAGGAAAATAATAATAATAATATACTAGTTAAGTATTAGAAACACAGTTTAAATATATATATATCTTTTATGAAATCTTATAGAAACAAAGTGTGGTGGTTATGTTTGTGTGTCAACTTGGCTGGGCCTGGTTGAGTGGCTGGGCAGCTGGTGGTAGTTATTCCCCATAATGAGACTGGCAGTTAACTCCATGGTGGCATCTACCACAAGCAGCTGAATAGCTGCTTTGGGTATGTGGTCTGCTTCCCGTATATAAGAAGCAGCTTTGGGAATGGTCTCTAGCTTGTGGCATGCTTGGACCCTGCATGTAGCCGTGTCGTTGTTCAGCAGCCTTCTGTGTTCTGCTGACCTTGAGACTTTCAATGGACTTGAATTAATGGCCTGCCATGTGGTTTGGTAACATCGGGACTGTGCTATTTTATTTGTTGACCTTGGGCTTGTTAGCCTCAGCAGCCAGTAGCTGTCTGAGTGAAGAGATGTCTCTAACTTCAGTGGGCTGGGAGCCAGAGGCAGAGCTGAAGTCCAATGTCAAGGGCTTTCACACAGCCTCTAGAACCTGGCATTTTGAAATTGGACTTAAAGCCCCAAACTGTGAAAGAATAAACTTGTTTGTTAAGGCTATCCCATTTATGGTATATTCTTTTCAGAGTGGCACTAGGCAACCAGAACACAAAGCAATTACAGAATTTTAAAATGCAGCAAGTAGAAAATGCAGCTAGGCCAAAATGACACACATGTACCACCTCTATATCTCTCTAGAGGGGTTCAGAAACTCTGTAACCATTAAATTCATGGAACAGAGCCCAGATTGCATAAATAAGCATTTCATATTTTTGTATTTTGTTTCTAAATTTGCTAGCTCCAATGAAATACTTTATTATCAATAAAAGCAATTCCATAATTTCTCATTGTAATCTTTGTAGTAATCCTGTGAAGGGGTGGTGTCATTTTCCCATTTTACTGATGAGAAAACCAACTCAGAAAGGTTAAATAATTCAAACATAGTCCTACAGCTGCTATTTGATATCAGATTCTTTAAATTTTTAATCTTGGGATCACATTACTTCTATAAAGAGCTTTGTAACATGATCTGTTAAAATGGTAACTCAAAATCACTGAACAATACATTGATTCATAACATTTTTCATTGGTTTTACATATCATCTGTTTAACTTTTATGCATTGAGCCATTTTTGGAGTAGGGAAGTTCTTATTTGAGGCAACAAAGAAAGAGGATGAACTGTGTCATTAGGTAGACATTGGTTTAAATGCTAGATCAGCTAACAATTAGCAGTGTGATCATAAGCAAATTATTTAGCGTGTATTCAGTATCTATTTCCTCATCTTTAAAAATATGAATTAATAGAATACAAAAGAAGAATAGTTTGGGAAGATGATAAGAGAATAGCTTAGTCAGGTCACATTTTCTTTCAGGTTGAATTATGTTTTATTATAGTTATAATCAATTTGTTGAGTAAATCAATTTGAAATCATAATCCCACATCCAAATAGAACCTCTATTAACATTGCACGTATTTTTCCACTTTTCTTTTTTTGTGCTTTCCATCACTGTAGTCCATTCCCATGACTTCAGTAACAATAAAGATCTGCTTCCTCTAACCCTGCACTGTCCTCTTGAGACCCTTATATCACTGCCTACTAACAATTAGGAGCTCTGGTGGTGTAGTGCCTAAGGCGTTTGACTGCTAACCAGAAGGCTGGCAGTTCAAACGACCAGCCACTCCTCAGAAGGAAGTTTGGGCAATCTACTTCTGTACTGATACCGCCTCAGAAACCCAAGGAGGGGTTACTGTGAGTCGGATCCGACTTGACGGCAGTGAGTTGTGTTGTGTTGTGTTTACTAACAATTACATTTGGGTGACTTACTGCCTCATTACACTATCATTTTAGAGTAGTCTGCTTCATCCCATGTGTATCTATTTAACCTATGTTTTCTTTTAGTACTTTTTGAAAACTTACTTTCTTTATTTGCTTAATAATGAACTAATTGCTCCCTTAGCATTTATTGCATAATCCTTATTTATCCCCCTTATTTGAAATTTCATCTTTACTAGTAACACTAAAGTTTCATATACTTTAGTCTGTCTCTTACCTTTACATTTTGTTTTATTATTTTCTTCTGTTGATTCCTGTACTATACACAATATACTTTATGTACCTTTATAATATGATTTAAAATTAGACAGATCAAGTTCCTACTTTTCTTTTTACCCTTTCCACATTTTTTGTAATCTTGCCCATGTTCATCACTTTTTATTATTATTATTGTTATTATTGTGATTTTAATGAAAATTAACAAAGCAAGTTCATTTTCCATACAGCAGTTCATACACATTTTATTTCATGACATTGACTGCAATTCCCCACAATGCAATAGCCTTCTTCCCACTTTCTCCCTGTATTTTTCTCTTCCCTGTGTCCTTTCCTATGCATTCCTGCCCCCTGAGCTATCTCCCTGTGCAAATACTGCCCTTCTGTTCTCTCCTATGACTGATCATTCTAAGGAGTGTATCTACCTGATGTAAATGTTCACCTAATATGCCTGTCTGTTGTTTGGCTGGAAGCTATGAGAATGAATTCAATTCCAGACCTGAAGGGTAACTAGGGGCCATAGCCTCAGGGGTCTCAGCAGGCCCTATCAGACCAGTAAACCTGGTCTTTTTTATGATTCTGAGTTTTGTTCCACTTGTTCTCCCACTCTATCCAGGATTTTCCTCTTTCCGAGTGGTTGACAGTGGTAGCTGGGCACCATCTAATTCTTCTGGCCTCACAGTCATATAAGCTGAGGCTCTTATGGTCCACTAGTCCCTTGTACTAATTGTTTCCATGCATCTTTGGTTTTCTTCATTCTTCTTTGTTCTGGATGAGGAGAGAACAATTGTTGCATCTAGATGGCAACTTGCAAGCTTTTAAGACCCCAGTCATTACTCACCAAAGTAGGATGTGGACCAATGTTTTTGTATAGTATGTTATGCCAATTGAGCTTGATGTCCCCTGTGACCATGGTCCCAAGCTCACAGGTCCAACAACTTGCTCATCAGGGTGGTTGACTGTGAATAAGAAGTTACCATACCTTTGCCCTCCCTTAGTTCTAGTTATATGGACATTCTTATAACACATACAAATATATACATAGCAATATCGTCTGCCAGCCTTATGTATGTATGGTCATGGGTATATTCCCTTTTGCCAAGACATACCTGATCATTCAGCCTGTCTACCTGTCTGTTTACCTGTAGGTTAATGTTTATTACCACTGATAATGCAGTATTGTATATGTAAAAGGGGCTTATCTTTGTTGTCTTTACCTCTTGTGCACCTCTCTGTGTCTTCCTTTTCCTTAGTGTTACTGCATTGGTCGCTCGCTTTTCGTATATTGCCTTTCCCTTCACTCAAATCAATACTTTGTCTCTACCTATCTAGCAGTGTTCTCTCCCCTCCCCTCCCATCGCTGGTAACCAACAAAGAAAGTTTCCTTCCATATATTAACCTTTCCTTGAGTTTTTACAATAGTGAACTAATACAATATTTGTTCCTCTGTGACTGACTTATTTACCCAGCATAATGTCCTCCAAGTTCATCCATGTTATGTGGTGTTTTGAAATTCTACATCATTCTTGAGTGTTGTATAGTATTCCATTCTCCCATGGACATTATATAGACACAGTTTTGGTAATCTATGTTCGTAGTGCCTAAGGTACTTGACTGCTAACCAGAAGGCTGGCAATTCAAACCCACCAGCCACTTCCCAGAAGGAAGGTTGGACAATCTACTTCCATAGTGACAGTGCCTCGGAAACCCAAGGAGGGGTCGCTACGAGTCAGGTCTGACTCGAGGGCACGTAACAACAACAATAATAGCAGTGCATCCTTCTCTCCTGCATATTTTCTTTTCCTTTTCTTTTTTTTCAATTAGATTTACCTTCAGTGGTTTTTGACTGCTAACCAGAAGGTTGGCAGTTCAAACCCACCAGTCACTCTGTGGAAGGAAAACTGGGCAATCTACTTCCATAAAGATTTACTGCCTCAGAAACCCAAAGGGGATCGCTGTGAGTCATAATTGACTTGATGGCAGTGAGTTAGAGTTCTCCAGTGGTTTATCTGTTTTATCTGTCTTTCTAAAGATTTATGTTGAATTCAAGTATTTTAATTGAGATTACAGTAAGGTTGTATATTGATTATAAATGAACCTAAGTCTTGGGAATCTCTCATAATGAACATGGTATATTTATGTATTTATTCCAGTATTCTCTATCATTCAGTAAAAGTTTCAGAGACTACCTGAAACTTTTCAGGTCCACTTCCTATCTTACAATTACTCCTTAATTTTTCGTTTTGGCTGTTATTGTGAATGTGTTATCTTTCTCATTGTAGTAGACAATACAAGATTAGTATTAGTATGTAGTAGAAAATACAAGATTCTGTGTTTATATTTAGTAAATTTTGCTATTAATTTTCCATAAATTTTTCAGTGATTATTTTGCATTTTATTGAGAGATAATCCACAGGGGCAGAGGAGAGTATAATGAGTATAATTATAATGAGTAATAATTTTGAGTATAATGAGTATAATTTTGCCTATTTTTTTTCTCAATTTTATAAATTATGATTCATCCAAAGTAAAGGTACTACGCTACCATAAAGATTACCACCTCGAAATCCCTACAGGGAAGTTCTACTCTGTTTCATTGGGGTTACCATGAGTTAAACAGACTCCATGGCACCTAACAGCAACAACATGAAGTGCTAGACAAATTACTTTTTCAGCTTTTAAAATCTTTTCCTCAAACATACTTAGTATACCACATAATCTTTATAAGAACCATAATTTGAATAATGGAATAACATTTTACTTTTTGGATCAAAGGAGAAAAATGCTCAAGATTTAGCAGTTCGGTAATTTAAAGAGATGTTTTTCTGTCCAGGTTCTCTGAAAGTTTTGATGGATAGATACTAAAAAAAGGGGGGCGGGGACAAAAAAAGAAGAGCAATTAAAAGTAAATCTAAGCATTATCTGTTAATGGTGGAAAAAAGAAGAGATAGAAAAAAAAAAAGAGAGAGGCTTTAGAAGTAAGGAATAAGGGGAAAAAATGGAGATCTGTAATCTTAAGTACCAACATTTTGATGCCAAAAGTTAATTGTCCTCAAAACTTCTCAAGTCTTGTATTGGCCTGCACCCTTCCTTGAATGAAAATGCTGAGTTGAACAGAAAAATTTACTATTTGCTTCTTCTTCTAACACAATTATCTGGTAGGGACTTAATGGCATTTGTAAAATGCCACAGTGTAATCATAATGGAAATTTTATTTTTCTTAGCATTTGTACACTCTCAAACATTTGTTTTTCCTGTTTTTTATTATTTTCTATCTCAATTGTAGGTTGAAGCTCCATTCATACCAAAGTTCAGAGGCTCTGGAGATACCAGCAACTTTGATGACTATGAGGAAGAAGACATCCGTGTCTCTATAACAGAAAAATGTTCAAAAGAATTTGGGGAATTTTAAAGAGGAGCAACAAGATGTCAGAGCTCACACTCAGTCTTTGCACTCTGTTGAGAGATAAGGTGGAGCTGAGACCATCCTGTGTTGAGGCAGTTACCTAGAACCTTCATTTGAACAACTGAGTGAGATCTTTATTGCCATCCTCTGTGTGTGCACTCTGAATCCACCTATGTAACAAGGCACTGCTAAGCAAGCACTGGCTGTGTCATAACAGTGCTAAGCCACTGTCCTACTTCTCTTTGGTTTATCTTTCTCTACTCCTGTTACATCCATTTCTTACCTTTTCATTTTCATTATTTTTTTCCAAACAGTGCTCCATTTTGTTTTATTTGTGTTTCAAGTGGGCAGTGTTATGGCTACATGATATTTGAAGGTATTGATATGTTGCCTTTAGTAGTACTTGCCAATATTTTTGTTGGTCATTGGCTTGAGGCTATCGTTTCTTTGAACTATTTTTACTTTGAGTAGCTCATACTCCCTTTTGCCAACACTTCTGACAGTTTTTGAGAATAGATGTCTTATTACCAAGGAAATTTATACAAAAATTAATACAATAAATTTCTTAGGACTCATTACTCTGGAAAAAAAAAAAAATGGGTAGACTAATATAAAGTAGCTAGAAGCTGCAATTTGGATTCCTGTAGATCAGAATTTCTGTTTCCCTTCACCTCCTTTTCTGTTGTTTTCCTCTGAGTAATTAAGTGACCGGCCTGTGCAATGTGACAAATGTGTCTCATTCAGCAGGAAAAAAACTAATGATACGGATCATCTCCCAGATTTTCTCACCTGGTCCCCACATTTCTGTAGGTATTCAAGAAGAGTTTTAAGGTTTCTCAACCCTAACTCTTCCATAAAGGTTTTAGCCAGTATTTTAATAGGACATGACTAATGAAAGTGACAGATTGTAAAGTTCCTAAAATAGTCTTATTGTAAAACTTTTTATAGGAAAAGAAACTAACTAAAAACATTAGTTTTGAGAAATACTTTGCTAAGTCAACAAACGGTTTGATTCTTGCAAACAAATAATACAGAGGCCCTCTTATTTAAAAGAAATGTTTGTTTGTTTTGCTTTGCTTTGCTTAGCTTTGTTTTATAACAGTTAAGGACAGAGCTGTGGCCGGGTGTTTGTTCTGGTGCACTGTATTTGTGAGCCTCCTGTGGGGGTCCTGTTGTTGCTTCTGCTTCACCCCCTGCCTCAGCAGTGAGGAAAGGAGATAAAGTTTATAAAACTGCCACAATTGTATTTTCTTTTTGAAGTGTAGTATTTTTAGATATGTCATCATTTCTAACTTCTGTTCTCTCGGTAAACAGAATGTATGATCCTACAGGTATAATTTTAGTATTTTTGAGGGTTGGTTTCTTTGTTTATTTTAATACTTTTTGCCAACTAATTCAACAACATTGCTGTCACATGGCATTTCAAGCACTTTTTGCACAGTTAGTTCAGTGTTTGTTGAGAATCTATGGCTTAACTCATTTTTCTTACCTTTTGTTTCTTTGCTTTTACCCTTTCCCACCTGCTTTTTTCTCTGTGTCTTAGTGACTTATCTTAAAACAGCACCCCAAAATAGTTTAAAATAAACTGGATTCATTTTTTGTAATCAATTTACATGCATAAAGAATGAGTTCTTTTTAAAATCAAACTGATCTTCGTGTATATAACCAACCATCCTATTCATTTCATTGTCAGTGCAGGCAGGTCACTGACGCTAGTACTTTTCACCCTTGTAAAACCATTGAAGACATGGAACAACCCTAACTGAGATGTACTTTCCACCAACCTGTCTGTCTTTTGGTTCTCAAGTGATTCTGCACGGTAATGTCACATAAAGGCTGATGCTGATTTTAGTTGGTCCACCTGTATTTGAAATGTTCAAGAAAAACATTAAATCCTTTGCTATCGCAAGTAACAAAGATATGTATATCATCATGTTAATAAATTTAAAACGCCATTTGTATAATATATTTTAATTAATTTTTTGTACTTCATTTAGACCCAAGAACATGCTGATCATTGTATTCTATCTGTATGCTATAAATTCTATGGTAGCTTGGTTGTATATTATTGTAAAATTATTTTAATAATCATGGGGATGACAATTTGATTATTATGTTTTAGTTTTCAGTAATTGAAAACATTTCTATGAATTCTAAAAATATTTTTTTTCTACAAAATTACTAGTGCCCGGCACAACTTGCTGTAGAATCTACATAGGTAATTCAACCCCAAGTATTCTGAAGTGAGAATTGACCTCTAGGCATACATAGGTTTTAAGGGCTATTGAGTCATTCCATTTTACTCTCTATTAAAGGATATAAGAAAGCTTTCAATTATGTCAAGGGAGCCTATTTCCAACAAATCAAGTACTGAATTTGAGTATTTTTAAAGTATATAAATCTTCTGATTTCAGCCACAGTTTAGCCAAGAACATAGATAAAAGCTTTAATAAAAAATAAGTGGCATGAGTCAGTATTTACTCTCAAATTACATTGTTACAAACAGAAGAAATTGCATTCCTATGTAGTAATTAGTAAGGAGACTGCAGTGGAGAGAAAGGAGCCCTAGACTGAAAGCCAAGATACCTGAGTTTCAGGCCACAGGTCTCTTCTCTGTAAGATGGAAGGGTTGGATTAGGCAGTTTGTAAGGTCCCTTCTAGCTTTCACATGTTATAACAAGATTCTTTTTTATTTGACATATTGAAGGGATAACATGCTTTGAAGTCTTGGTAAGGCAAATATTTTAGGGCATCTTTCTTCTCTGTAGCTCTGACAGCATTCTTACAGTTTGTTGAATATCATGAGAACCTTTGTGTCTGTTCCAATTCCTTTCTCATTCACTGATGCTAAATACCCAATTGATATCAAATTGTCAACCTACCAAAAAGATACTGTGGCTTGTGGGTATTGCTGTCTTGTTTTTGGTATGTTCTTGTATTGACTGCCCATTGGCCTGAAAATACTCATTGTAAGCCTGACAAAAAAAAAAAAAAAATCATTTTTCTTGCCCACTGATTTTTTTTCTGCTTGTTGTAAGAATCAAATGAAATAATGTATGTGAAAGCACCTTGTAAACTGTAACCTATCAATGTAAAATGTTAAGGTGTGTTGTTACTTCATTAGTTACTTCTTGTTTAGAATGAAATTTCCTAGGCACTCCTGTAGCTGGGAAATGCTGAAAACAACTGTGTTTTTTAATTAATCAATAACTGTAAAATTAAAGTATCTTCAAAGGATAAAACAACTTATCGAGTCTTGAATTTTACTTAGTGCCCTGATCTGATCATTAATTTCCTGCTAATACTGCAGATGCTTAGTTTTTATGTATTTGGATTGGACTTTTGGGTACTGTTGTTGTTGTTGTTATGTGCTGTCGAATCGAACCCGATTCATAGCGACCCCTCCTTGGGTTTCCAAGGCAATATCACTACGGAAGTAGATTGCCCCATCTTCCTTCCGAGGAATGGCTGATGGGTTTGAACTGCCAGCCTTCTGGTTAGCAGTCAAGTGCCTTAGGCACTATGCTACCAGAGCTCCCAGTACTAGGGGGAAGAATTCCACCAAGCTACTCAAACAGGTCACTTACTAAGAAAATCCTACGTTCACTACACAGTTTTTAATAAGTGTTTCTTCTTCTTCTTCTTCTTCTTCATGCTGTTGTTCTAAATTACTCCTATTATTATGTTGAAAATATTCATAAAGGGTTTCTACTGCCAAGATCCCTCATTCTTACATTGTAATAATAAACTATGCCTTTTAACTTTCTTCTTCAGAAGTGCTTTTGAACTTCACTTTACCTCTTCCCATTTTAGCCAGGTTGATTAATGTGTGTTTCTATAGTTGTACTTTACCTCAATAAATATCATTTTTTTAAGATAATTATTTTAATAGGTTCCTTAGCTGAATTCTCTAGAGAAGCAAAACTAGTGAAGCTTACACAGAGGGAAAGAGAGAAATTCATCTCATGAAGTTATGTTGCTGTTGTTGTTAGGTGCCGTCGAGTCATCTTCGACTCATAGCGACCCTATGCACAGCAGAACGAAACACCGCCCAGTCCCGCACCAGCTCCTTGATCCCTGCTATACTTGAGCCCATCAACACAGCCACTGTGTCTACCCATCTCGCTGAGGGCCTTTCCCGCTTTTGTCGACCCTCTACCTTATCGAGCATGACATCCTTCTCCAGGGAATGGTCCCTTCTGATAACATGACCAAAGCAGGTGAGTTCAAGTCTGGTCATTCTCGCTTCCAAAGGAGCATTCCGGCTGCACTTCCTCCAGGACAGATTTGTTAGTTCTTTTAGCAGTCCAGGGTACTTTCAGCATTCTTTGCCAAGACCACAACTCAAAAGCATCAATTCTTCTTTGGTCAGTTATAGAGACTTATCAATCCCTAGTCCATGGATCAAATGCCAATCTGGAGGCTTCTCCTGACTACGCAGCTGCAGGGGCTGACAAACCCAAGACTGGCAGAAATATAGCAGGCTGCTGGCTTTGGAGGCTACCAAATCCAAGATTGGTAGGTAAAATGGCAGATCATTGGCTTACAGGGTACAAAGGCAACAATCCCAAGATTGGCAGCAATGTGGCAGGCCACTGGTTTAAGTCCAGGAACCAGAGATGGTGATGAGCCAGATGCAGGATCCAGATCCAGCAAAAAGCCAAAGACCTTTTCCTCAACACAGCGCAATGCAACACACTGCCGTGGAGTCGGATCCAACTCATAGCAACACTTTCTTGGGTTTCCAAGGTGGTATCACTATGGAAATAGATTGCCCAACCTTCCAGGATGTCCATATATCTATTGGAAGAAGGCCACACCCATGAAGAAACTCCCTTTCAACATCTCATCATGGAGATGATTACATTATAACTGCTAAACCACTGAGAATCATGGCCCACTCAATTTGACACACAGCATCAACAATCACAATAGGTTACCATTTTGATTGTTATGATTGTTATTGTTAACACAAATATTGATGCACTTTATAACACAGTGCTTACTATTTTTGTACCAATGCTTGCTTCATTTTTTTACCAGGGCTTAATACAAATATTTGTTTTCTTGTTTCCTTATATAACTAATTACAAAAATCTGGCCATAATGGGGAAGAAATAGTCTCTTTTTTTTTTTTTTCCATTTTTTAATTGTGATTTGGGTGAAATTTTATATAG